GTAATTCTTTAATTCTTGCCGTTGCTAATTCAAGGTGCGGGCCCGATGCCGCAGCCCTGCCCGGGTCGCTGTTTGTGCCGTGGGCTCCGTGTGGGTCACACACGGCACGGGGAGGCTTTGTCCTTGCCCCGCCTCGAAGCAAACATGCGATGGGTTGGATAAAAATGCCTGGTGGGTGTCGGGGCCAGCTCGGCTCCCCCTGTGGTTTGGGGTACCGGGTGCCCCGGGGTCGGGCCGTGCTTCCCGAGGGTCTTGAAGCATTTTGCGGTTAGGAGAGCCTTTTTTTTTTTTTTTTTTTTTTTTTTTTTCCGTTGTGGCTGTAACTTTCGCGCACTGTTTCTGCAGTGCTCACATCTGTTTATGTCATCCTTGGAGCGCGGTACAGTGAATTTGGGATTGAGGCGAAGTCGTAGAACTTATTGCTTGTTAATGTGGGTGCTTAAAGTGCGGCTATTTAAATCCGCAGTTAGGCCTTTCTTGAAAGGTGGCCTGTTTTCTCTTAAGGCTTCAGCATCCAGCCCCTTCCAGGGAGATCCACGGGAATAGTGAGTGCTTAGCAGGTTGGGAAGGGAATAGCGAGTGCTCAGCAGGTTGGGAAAATACTTGTCTTTGTATTAAAAATGAAACTAGGAGCCTTAGTGGGTTGCTCGTCTTGCAATAAGCGGGACTAATTCTGCATTTCTTCTAGTAGTGTATATTATGTGGAGAGCGACTGGAAATTGCACAGAACTTTCAAATAAATAAAAACTTTGACGGAGAACCGGTGATTAAGTAACGCTGGTCGTTAAAACAGTTAGTGGGACGTTAATAAAATAATTTATTTGAAACGTGAGTGAAAGCAGGATACTTGATAATTCAGTGTAAGCCCGGAGAGATTTGGGAACGTCTCGGTGCCGCTGCGGCCGGAGCGGCCCTGCCCCGGGACGGCGCGGCCTCAGGGGAGATGCGACATCATCTGCTCGTCCCGCAGGGCCGAGGAAAGGAAAATACACCTGGATCCTGACAGGGGACACCCCGCAGGGATCCGCATAGGGCCTCACTCGCTTCCCACCTACGTCAGTTAGAAGTTTTGTCTTCCAGTTCATTAAAGTAGTACAGTCAGGCCCTCCTCGTCGCCTCCATAGGCATTTGGTTTTTTTTCTTCTGGAAATCCTTATTAATGGATTCATGTGGTAAACATGGGTATAAAGTAGGCAATTAAAAAAAAAACACAAGCAACCACAAAACCAAAAACCCAAGCAGTGAAAGCACGAAATAAAATAGAATAAAATAAAACAGAATAAATAATGTAGAATAAAGTAAGATGAATAAAATAGCATAAAATAAAATAAAAATAAACCAACCACAAACCCTACACCTCCTAAACTTTGTATTTTTTACTGCCTGTGAATAGGAAGATCACTCCAAACAAAAATTCTGAAATCTTGTTTGGGAAGTCTCTGTCGTAAATAGGTCTCATTAAAAAAAAAATAAAAATTTCTAGTTACAGGAAATGAATAGCTATCGCAGCCTTTTCACCTAAAATACTCAATTCTTAAACTGCTAAGGTCATGTTTTAAATGTTCGGTACGTCTGTAACCGCCTGTTACTGAGATCTTTATCACCTACGGTGTCAGCCAATATTTTAACTACAGAAGTAATAAGCAGGTGAGTGGGATTTTTAGAAACGTATCTCGTGTTTCCTCCTAAGCACGGTGACACTGGGAGTCGGGGTAGTGTCCTGCCCTGTTTTTTTTGTCACTGACTCTCATTTTTTCGGCATCCACAAGCTTCCCTGGAAGATCCTGACAGTTCCGGGAAGGCTCTGTTACTTTCCAGTCATTTCCAGATAAACTCCGATGTGGCCTCAATTATTTCCTGAATGTATATGTTTATTATTTAAAACTAATTGCAGCAAAGTAGCCTCTGATAGTAGAACGTTTATAATGTATAATGTTGATTAACTTTCCACACGGAGCTGTCCTTTGGATGCAATTTTTTTTCCTCCTCATTTTACCACTGTTTCCAAATAATCCCGCGTCCTTCCAGCAGAAAAACGTCTTCTAAAATGTTCTTTAACAAAAAATAACGACGCGTTTGAACATTCACAAAGTACCGATTTCGTGCCTGCCCTCAGTCTATTACCTCAAATAACATCCCACGCTGTGTTCGGGGCAGGCGTTTGCTATCCCGGCTCTTCCTGTGTCCTATTAATAGGACAAATCCGCCCGCGCATGACCCTTCCTACAAGAATTCGGCCACAGTTTACTTTGACTTATAGCTGACTGCAAAACAGGTCCTTTAATTAAAAAAAATACCAATACATTTTACCCTTTGAAAGCACTTCCATGGGAGCCTGGGGTAGAAGAGTCTCACGTGTGTGTGCCTACAAACCGGGGTAGGTGCGGAGCCTCGCCCGCATCCTGACAACAGGAATCTGCTGGCTTTTAGTAAATAAAGCGTGTTTAGTTTTGTATTTTCTTTTTTTCTCATGAAACGCGTTTTGGTTGGTATGCAAAAAGGAGAGCAGCCGTCAGGGACTTGCCGCTTATTTCACTAAACTTTCTCAAGCGTTGTCTGGGCGGGAGGTGAAAGCAATTGAATAAAAAGCCTTTTTTTTTTTTTTTTGGTTAAGAAAAAAAAACACGCAAACACTCAAACCCAAACAAAAATGTATTTTTAAAAAAGCTTCATTAAGAAAATCTGAAATCCCAGTAACATCACATAACACCGTAACATCAGTTTGGGTTCCGACGGGGACCATCGCCCACCTGAGCACCCCGCGGGGCGGGTCCGCAGCCGGGCCCCACCGCGGCCAAGAAGTGGTACCTGCCAAAAAGCCAGGTCTCCTGGGAGGGGTTGGAAGATGCATTTGCGGGAAGACATTAGGAATGAAGGAAAAACAGCTGGTAGAGATGAGCTGGAAAGCTCTGTGTGTGTATGTGTCCCCAGCCAGCACGTCCCTTCTTCCCCCCCTCCCTCCCCGCCTTTTTTTAGGGGTTAAAACTAGAGTATATTTGCTCAGCAGGTACCAGAAGGAGTGACCCTCAGGTTTGCTCTCCCGTTATGCTCTGTCGGCCCCTTTGCGTTTATAGGTGGGCTTTGTGCATTTGTTCCTCAAAAGTAGCTATTATTGCTGTTAATTATTGTAAAAATGTAAACAAAGACGTTTGAAAAAAAAGTGAATTCATAGCCTGCTAGCAGAGAGGCAGAGAGCACCCCTTGCTCTCCTGGCAGTTGAAATAAGGGTATCGATTTGGGTTAGGGAGCATCCTCCAATTTTAAGGGAGAGGTGCTTGAAGTCAAGAATGCCTTTTCTTCCCCCCCCCCCCCCTTTTTTTCTTTTATTGTAGGAAAAAGACATTCCTCCTCTCCTCCTCTGTGGTCGTTTAGGATAGCCCTCCCCTGGTAACTCCAGACGGGAGGGAAAGAGGCATGCATGGGTTTTTGAATTTATGTTTGGGTTTTTTTTAAAGATGTTTGTCATGCTGCAACCACTATTCCAAGGATCCTGCAAGGTTTTCATTCACCACCCGGTTTTCAGGGTTCCTTTCTTCATATTGCACTCAGCCCAACTTGAGACTCCGGAGTGGAAATAAAGGAAAAAAAAAAATCTAGACAAAATAATGATAATAAAAATCAGAAGCAACCTTCCCCCTTTGCTCCCTATCACCCCCAAACCAAGCTGCCCCCAAACAAAATTCTCCTTGGGGAGGGAACTTACTCCTCGTCCTGTCGGCACATTTAAGAGTCATTTTATTTGCCTGAACTTTGGATCAAAGCTGGTTTCCAGAGGAAATTTCCACTCCTGCTGCCGCCTCGCACCAGAGGGCGCCGGGAGCCTTCCCAGGCTTTGCTGCCTCAAGTGCTGCTGGAAATTAACTCTTTGGGCGCTCTCCCTGAAGGCTTTTCTAACCTTTCACTTTTAAAATACACAGGTAGATTGTAACTTTTTCCCCGCCCTGTAAAATGCGTCTTGGTTTGTTTGGGTTTGGGTTTGTGAAGGTTTTTTCCCGCCCGGTGTTACCCTTTCCCAGCACTTCAAGGGCTTCACCCTCCTGCAACAGCCCCCAGCGCTCTCAGGAGATTTACAGCTTCTCTCCGTCTCTCTTAACTTGGTTCCGATTAAGTCACTGCATCACTTTTGCATGACATTACCGTGTTTCCCCTCATAATTGCCAGGGATAAAAGTTTGTCTGGCTGTGTTTAAGCTTAGAGGGTCAGTCAGGGCTCTTCAAGCAGAACACCACCGAAGCGCAGCCCCAGGGGAAGAGCAGTGAGCGAACCATCCCAATGCATCTCCCTGTGCTGCCTGTGGTGTCCCGCTCTGGGCCTAAAGGGTGCAAGGCCAAACCCTAATGTGGGGGGCTGACTAATGTATGCTACAGGGTCAGAGCTGTTTTACAGTGAGACCTAAGGAAATCCATAGCTTTTCCCATGGACAGGATGCTGTTGGGAGGACACACCCCGTGTTTCTGTGCCCCAGTAGCTGCATCTGATTTGGTTGTTACACACTCACTTTCCAGCCTGACAGGATCATCAAACTCCATCTACTGGCCCTGCAGAGATACCCCAACAATCCCACCCTGTCCCTCAGAGCGTTGTCCAAACCCTCCTGGAGCTCTGGCAGCCTTGGGGCTGTGCCCACTGCCCTGGGGAGCCTGTTCAGCGCCAACCACCCTCTGGGGGAAGAACCTTTTCCTGAGATCCAACCTAACCATGCCCTGACAGAGCTCCAAGTTTGCTACAATTCAAAGAATACTGCAAGAATAAGTAACCCAAAGAGCAAATACTGCAGGAAATTATAGAAGACTTTACCTGTAACTGGGGATTATAAACCCTCGACTTCAGCAAGAGCATTTCTTGTGTTCATCTGCATATGCAAATACTGTGGCTCACCTTCTGAGGCTCAGTTTTAATGGCAACACAGGTTGATTATTCATAGAAAAAAAATCTGTGGGAAAATATTTGTTATTACTTTCTTTTTTTACAAGAGCAGTCTGTTTTCAAACAGCAAAGAAGGACTATTTTCAAGAGCAGATAGTGACAGTTCAAGGGGGAATGGATTCACACTGAGAGAGTGCAGGGTTTGACTGGATATTAGGAAGCAGTTCCTCCCTGTGAGGGTGGGGAGGCCCTGGCACAGATAGCCCAGAGAAGCTGTGGCTGCCCCATCCCTGGTTGGACGGGGCTAGTGGAAGGTGTCCCTGCCTATGGCAGGGGGTGGGATGGGAGGATCCTTAAGGATCCTTCCAACCCAAACCAGTCTGGGATTCTGGGATCCTATAATTCTGATGAGCCGCTGGATCCTGGAGTACTCAGTCCTGCTGAATCTTTAGGAACCAATTTAGCTGCTTGTCCGACACGTCTCTCTTACTCAGTGAAATGTGCTCAGCTGAAAACCACAATGCAGGTATGTCAGAAAGTACTCACTACTGACATACTAAAAAAAGAAAAGACAGTGCAGGCCTGAACATTGATATCAGGTGAGTCCTGTTCCAGTGCAATACATATTACCACATTAATAATGCTCTGACTTCTTTTTAACACAACTTTCAGGAAGCACATAAACATCTTTTCTTCATAATTTGTGCCACATTTAACCATACCAAAACTAGATCAAGAACTCATCAGTGCGGGCCCTGGACAGATGCATAGTGTGTAGTTTCCAACAGATCTTATAATTCTAAATAAATGAATAAAAAGGAAGATATATAATAAGAAAATGAAGAAGAAGGAAGAATAAACTAAATATTAGGATGCATAATTTCCGTGTTTCCTGTAAACTTTTATGCTATTCACATAACACTTAAGGATCAACAGAAATGCAAAATGCATGACCTGAAAACGTATTAAAAAAATCCAAGGGAAAAAACCCATAAAAACCAACAACAAAAAACATTTTAATCCTGGGGGCTGGTGGGAAAACTCAGTTGAAGAGAAATGGTGTTTGTCCATGTGATATTTAAATTGAAATAAAGATTTTAAATTTTTTTGTGACTACTACTCCATTTATGTCATTAATTTAGCATCTGTCAATCAAAAAAAAAGGAAAATGCATCAAAGGCTGCTGAGTTTACTCAAACGCAAATCCCTTTACAGGATCTGATTTCATCACTTACTAGTTCATGTTGAGTTTCCTCTGTCAGGTATGTGTGTGTAAGGTGAGAATTCTAGTCTTGGAGAAGGAGTAGAGGGGCCTTTGAAGAGACTTCTTGACTCTTGGAACAACACAGGGGGAAAAACATCATGTTAAAATGCATCTTGGCCCTTATGCCATTTTCATTGAAGCTCATGGTAAAACCCTCTTTCCCTTCACTGGGAACAGGACTGAGCCATTTAAAATGCTATTTTGTAATATAAATCTTTTAAGTCTTAAATATTTCCATACAGTGGAGAAAAGAAGTCTCAAACGTCATCAGAAAGACTGCTTCTTGTTAGGCTGTTACAATGTGCTATTTCTGTTCAAATAACATTTACTAATATGAGAGACAAATACATTTGTACAGTTTGGGAGCCTGACACTGCAGTTGGGTGTTTGCAGCTTTTATACATTAGGGTATTTATGACAATAATTTTAACTCTTCGGTTGCATAAAACAAAGCCCAGATGTTTCTCAGCAGCATCAGGTCTTTTAGCTGAGCCTTTCTGGAGTGTAGTGCAGTTTGGTTACAGTTAAGCTCGAGTCAAAATATTCCAAGAGTATGGAGGGATGACGTGGCGAGGCACAAGTAGGAAGGGGGAAGAGGGACACTGAAGGAGGAAAACAATCTTACTCTCCAGCTATGCCAAGTCCCCACCTGTGGGACAACTCTTCAGTTCTCATCTTTGGATCTTATTCCCTCCTTGGTAGTGGCTTTAAAAAGGATTAAGTGAGAGAACAGCAGCAGAAAAAGCCCTCAAAATACCATGCTCTGGGAAGGTCAGGGAGGTTGCCTTCTCCAGATGTACAGGGGCTCCAGGGTTCAAATTTGAATCTCTCTGTGCTGAGTTGCTGTGATGTCGTGCCCAGCATCCTGTCTTCCCACCCAGGAATACAATGAGGGCAACGCAATTTCCATGGATTAGTTGTTTGTTTCCCCTGGAGTCAGCCTGGCTGGGTAAGCACAACTGAGCAGCACTCATGTAGTCATACAGGTCTTACCAGTGATCTCCTAACAGGGGGGTATTGTCCAAATGACAACTGACCTGAGCTTGTGCCAAATGCCACTACAAGTCTCTCTTTTCTTTCTGTTTCTGGGTGTGTTGTGTCCAATGGTAGTGTCCTATGGTAAGCTTTTCAGGGGAGGAACTGTCTTTATAGCTGGTGTCTCTATAGCACCTTGTGCAGTGGCCCAGGCTTAAAATAGTGGTGATAAGGTGCACTCATCTGAAGAAAGATTACCTGATCTTTTAAGTCCATATTTGCAAGTAGATGATGATTAATAGAGATAAAAAAAAAGAAGAAAAGTGATAAGGTGCATTATACATCTTGGTGAGAAAAGAGACTTTTGCTGTCTCTGCGCTTGCCTTGTCTCAGGAAATATCTACGGCTTCGTGTCAAAACGCTGGGAAAACACAGAGATGGTTATGGTGGATACCAAAGTAGCTCCCAGAGCTACAGATATGCACATAAATGCAAGTATTAAAATGACCACATTTGAACTAACAGAGCTCACTGGACACATTTGACCTGCAGTGGAAATAATTATTGTAGCTGCTGTTCAAATTAGTGCGACGCGGTCCATTTGGGCTGCAATATCTTCCTGAAATAACAAGGCATTCTCTCCGTGGTTGGATTGAGTGGGATGCAAGTAGAAGGCTCAAATACCACCATTCAACAGTGGTCCTCTGTCTACTTTTGTGATGCTTTCCAGTGCACTCCAGAGGAGCAAAATGTAAAAACTATGGTAGAAGAGCCTCCTGTTTTGATGAAAAGTTGCTAGCAGTTATGACATAATTAACTTAACCAACAAGGCAATAAAAATTAAGTGCCCTGTTTGTGAGTGATGCATATCCCATATTAAGGCTAAATTTCCTCTAAGTTATACATTGAAACCTTTTCCATTATGACATTCATAGAATCTTGTATTCAACAACATCGCTTCCTTTCCTAGGTCTTTTGGGATCCAACAAGAGAACTTCAGTTGAGAGAGAAGCAGGGATACACTTCCCCAAATGTGTTCCAGCAGTGGGAAAGCTTTGGGAAACTGCTAAAAGCATTATACATTGCATTTTTGTCTGACCAGACTTTACTTGAGTGATCAAATGATAGGCCGTTATTTTTTGTATTTCTGAGGAAGTAATATTTTTGCTACTTGTAAGTGACTATTTGTAATTTTTACTATTATAGTAAGCACCTATCCAATCAATCTTGATTTTTAAATCTCTTTTAGTCTCTTGAACAACTACATTTACAAGAAAAATCTGGTTTGTTTAGAATCATGGAATGATTTAGATTGAAAGGGACTTCGAAGGTCATCTGGTCCAACCTCCTACTCAAAGCAGACCTAACCTACTAAGATGGGTTGTTTCCCTTTTTTTTTTTTTTTTTTTTTGGTATTTCAATAGCAGTATTTTATGGCAATAGTTCTTGCTGAAGAGCTTGTTCTAAACCACTTTCCATTTACTAATTTCCCCTGTTAACTTTGCTGCTATAAATATACCCTGTAGTCACCTTTGGAATCAACAATCCCTGTTCACAATTTATTCTGCTCTCGCCTCTTGCATTGTCAATGGCAAAGAATAAAGAGTAACCTGAATATGCAGAGTAAAATGTTGCTTTCTCCCACATCAGAGGGTTTATTATCCCATGTTCTGAAGAATGACCATACCTCAGTCCAGGATTATTGCTTGGAAGATAAAGGAAATGAAACCACTCTTTTACCTTAAGGTCCAAAAGAAAATTACTTCATTTCTGTGTATTTCCAGAGACAAGGAGCTGCTGATCTATGATTCTTCTCAACATATAGGAGAGCTGAGCAAAATGTAAGAACCAAAGGCCTGGCTTTGCTCTCAGCTGTTCTGGTATAATCCAAACTCAGCTTCTCTGGGTTGATGAATTTATTCCAGTTTTACTCTGCTGTGAACAAACCAGAATTTATTGTATAGTTTGCATGAAAGAATTGGACCATTTTCTTCTGTTTTCAGATGATGAGCTGTCTCTTAGTTGGTCTGTAGTCTCTCTTTCTCACCCTTTCCCTAATCTATAATTTTAAAAAAGTGTATTTGCAAAAGAACAATTACAAACTCTACCTGAAAAACTGTGTTATACAGTCTTGCAAACTCTAGTTTTTTTAAAGAGAAGCCCCCTGCAGACCATGAAACCTGGGAAGGATCTTGTGGAGGACTTGGGCATGTTTAGAAAGCATCCAGAGTAGCTATGACAACTTCGTGTCCTGGGGCCAAGATTGTGTCCACATACCAAATCTCTGACACTATGCAAGATCCTTATCCAGTATGAAGAGGAAACTGTAGAATTAGAATTGCCTAAAATAACCCCTAGAGAGACTATTGCTGGTTCTTGAGAAGATTTTTTTTTTTTGACATCTTAAATACATTTTTTTCTTAAAATGTCTGAAACAGGAAACCTGTGAAAGAAAAAAAATAATGAAATTAATAAGGTATCCACAACCCTGGAAAACCAGGTTCCCAGCTAGGTCTTTTTTTGTTATTTGCTGTGATTTCTTTAACCTTCTTTGATCAGTTAAATGGACTTGGAGTGTTCTACAAGTCTCTGAAATATATCAATATAATTTTCTTGGGTTTATATTTGAAATGGGAGTGGTATCCCATGTGGGTTTCAGCTCCTCTAATCTGGATGAGCTGGGATTAATGCTGAGTGCAGTGAGGGAGGCTGATCTCAGCAGAGGGAGATGGGCAGGGTCCAATCCATTACCTGGTCCAGGCAGTTCAGATGCTGACTGTATTTTTTTGATGTCACATATGGAAGTGAAGCATTCCAACTGATAAAAATCTGCTTTTCCATGCAATGAATATGTTGGCTACAGCGCCTGCAGCCTGTGCTTTCTGGTAAAAGCTGAGCTCTGTGTTAATTCTCTTAGTTATTGATTGGTAATATTATTTCTGCTTCCTGTCTCTGCAATGAGGTTTTTACATCCTGCCTGTAGTTGATCCCTTCCTGTTTCTCTGGCTATGGAAGGGTTCTGCAAAGCAGGTTTTTATAAAGGAAGAGAGACCTGGAAAATGCATTACTAAAGGTACTGATTCAAGAAACCAGGTGCATAAATGATGTTTTGGTTTCAGTAGCCAGGATGAGGTTTTGAACACTGGCTCAGGCAGAACCAAATTCAAACATTTTAATAATGGCATATTAACATAACTGCCTTATGCAAAGTATTTCTGGTTGCTTTTAATGAAAGTAAACAGAAAGAGTGATATATCTGGATAAAAAGGAGCAGATGGTAATTTTCATTATTCCTCCCTTCCCCTCTCCTTTTACTTGCATCCCAGTGAGGGAGAACTAAAAGACAAAATCTCCTCTTTAGTGAATTTAGAACAGAAACTGCAAAATAGATATCCCAACTTATGCCTTAACCTTTGCCCTGTGGGGTCATGCTCTTAAATGCTCTTCATCTACTGGATTAATAGAGCCAAAGGATTTTCGTCACTGAAAAAAAATGTTCAGATTTTACATGAGTTAAAGACTGCTTTGATTTGTGAAAACTCACTTTCAGTGTTTAAGTTCTTATCCAGGAAAAACTCTCCACCGTGATAATGGTTATCTGCAAGTCAGTTTTAACTTGGCACCCTTCGTGCTTGGCAGCAGATTTTAGCTTTACGTAACACTGAGTTATTATTATTGTACCATATTGCAGATGTTATGAAGGAATTGAGTTTTCAAGTGTGTGTTTGGGTTTTTTTTTTTTAAGTCAGGAAATGCTACAGATAGGCTTTTTACAGGAGTGTGACTTTATGCTCTACACATCCCATGCATTTCATTATATTTCCCTTAAAACAACAATCATTAGGTTAATGCACATATTTAGTAATCAAAGACATGCATTACACCACCTGAATACAAGAGGAGTCACTTTATGTGTCAAGATCTTTTTCATTCTCCGCATTTATAACGTGATCAATGTTAATATTGCATTCGCACTGGCTGGGGTTTCTTTTACTGGACACAAGTCTAAGGACATCGTACTGGCCCTGGTTCAAGGTGTCTGTCACATGAGGTACAGAATTGCTTTCAGTAAAGATTGCTTTGTTTTTAAATTCAAGTGAATTGGAAAAAATACCTGTAAAAGGCTAAAAAGTACTTAAGGGCAATGGAGGATACACTTGGTGACAGCAGTTCATACAGGGGTGGGTAAAGTGGTATGAGCCTGGCATGTATATAGGGATGGCACTTAGTAATTGCTTATTCTGTTTGCCTTTTTTGTTGACTGATGTTTTTATCTGGCTCTCTTGAGTGAGATATGCTGGATATACTGTGGCTTTCCAAAAGGAAATACTGAAGTAACCCACACGGAGCCATAAGGAAAATAAACTGTAATTTCTAACACACGGCACATGAAGAAAAGCCCTTTCACATCACTTTATTTCCTGCTCAGAGCTGTTTCTCAAACTGTGTAAGATCTCTAGCTCACATTATTGTTCTAAAGGGGCTTCATACAAGGAGGGTTTTTTTTGTCTAGCAAGGCTAATGAGGTCCTATAGCAAAAAGATACACAATATCAGTAAACAAACAGCTAATCTGTCATTAATGTTCGGTGTGTTCATTAATTTCTAAATGCATATTAATTTGGTGTAACTTTCTGTCCTTGTACTAGAATTGAAAGTAGGACATCTGTGAGTCCAGTAATTAAACAAATTAACTAACCCCCTTTTTAACAAAAGACTTGGCATGGCCATGTTCCTACAGGTGCTCTTTGTCTGCTTTCCAAAGCTGGAGTGGATTGTGCCCTGTGTGCATCGCCCTCCCGTGTCCCTCACACACCAGCCTTTCTAGTGCAGCAATCGAGCACTGCTGTCACAGGAAAAGCCACAGCGCATTTCTGATGTTCCTGTGATCCATCAGCATTGCCAGCCTCCCCACCTCCTTTGTGGAAGACCCAAATTAAGGTTTTTTGTAGCTGGAGTTGAGGGATGAGACATCCTATTGCTATATGCAGAGGTAACGGAGCTTTCTAGGTCAGAGATGTTGCAGATGTTTCTTTTAGGCCCACATTAGAAAGTTTTGCTCATACACTGATGTCAGCCTGGGTCTGAAAAAAACATAAATCCCACCTGCCTGGTGGAGCTCAGCCAGCAGAGTTCCTGGCGTGGACACAGCTGTGGTGCCAGGAAAAGGCTGCCGCCAGATTGAGCTGTTGGGTTCAGAGCTGGTGCAACTCCAGTGGCACCAAATGCCCTTTGGCAGTGCCCTTCACTGCTGCAGAGCTCCACTGGGTAAGACTCACAGGGACTGTAACTGCAGACAGAGGCTCCTGAGGGCAGCAGGTGAGATGGTGTGAGAACAAAGGGGAGACAAAGACATTGAGAAAGTGCCTGAGAACACAGCAAGAGTCATTGGCAGGTCTGGTAGTAGGTGTCCCTTTTGACTGCAGGAGCCCCTTTGAAAACTTCCCGCTCCATAAGTCCACCTGGAAGCTACATTTCTTATGTGTGCCAGTTTCCACTGGCTGCAGGAACGTCTGCTGATGGGACTTGGTTTTCTTTGCTTAGAAACACCAAGCATTTATTGCCCTTGCACTAGCACCTAAAGAGTCTGAAGAGTCTGTCCCAGGAGGACTGCTCTGTACAGCAGGGAGGAGCTGGGTCTTCAGCCAGATCCTAGTGGGACTGTAAATGCCTCTGGTTCTCAGCAGATACTACAGTAAGTTAGAACTCTCTCTGCCTGCTTCACAGTCACAGCCACAGCCACAGTCACAGTATGCAAAAGGGCTGCACAGGTACCTGCTGATGTAGGAATGGTTAAGTTCCTGGGAGCCAGCAGCTCCAGGACCCTTTAGTCCATGGAGACTTGTTTAATTACTCTTTCTTCCTGAGGTGAACATGAGAAAGCCACAGTAGTGGCAGAGAAACATGACTGTGATGCTCTTTGACCAGAATCGATTGTCCAAAGCACTTCAGCATGGAAAACATGTCACTGGGCAATGAAAACAACAGGAGTTAGTGGAGTGAAGGCGATGGAGAGGGAGTAATTGTTCACTGTTTTCTGCAGTATGAGAAGCAGAGAGCATCAAGTAGAGTTTAATTTACTCAATACTTAAAAGAATCTCTGGTTTCTGAGATAAATGGTTGTTTCAATGAAAGTATTAGAATTACTTTTGTTCTAATATCAAGAACTAGTCATGCTACTTATTGACATTGTTATCAAACAGATTTGATAATGTAGCTACTTGAAATCCATATCTAACAAGTGTGAAGCTCTGGCATGATTGGAATGAAAGTGTTAGTGAGTCCAGCACAGTAATTTTGACAAACTGTAGGCTACAGAAAGCTTGCAGTTTTCTATTCCAACCAAAGATAAAAAAATGAAATAATCCAAGCATCAGAACTTGCACGTTAATTTTCTGAAAAATCAAGGCCTTCAAAACAATATCCAAGTTCTAAGATACAGCAATGGAACAGAACATCTTAGTGGTTCTCTCGCTGAGAGCAACCTGCTTGTTGGCCAGAGCATGGCAGGGCAGCAAACACGACTTTCCCTGAGAGCAGTGCTTGGAAACAGGCAGGGAACACAGAGCAAGGCCTGCTGTGTTCCCACCATGGGGCACAGCCCAGCACCAGCCTGCAGACAATGGCAGTGCTCCTGCAAGCTTGGAGATGCAAGAATGAACCACAACAGAACGGCAAACAGATTTTTTCCAAACCAGAAAAGTCTTTGCCCCCAAGTATTTTTAACCCACATATTTCAGAGCATGTCAGACAATTGATCAGCAATCTGTTGCTAAAGTGATGTATTTATCTGATGCGTGGTTTCACTTAGCAGCTACAACACGTACAGCAGAGAACTGGAAAAAAATGAACTGGAACTCTGTGCAACAACTCTTATTCAAAACAGATGTATTACTTGGTATATGTTTAACATTCTCCTCATAATCCTAACTTGATCCTTAACCATCATGCATTAGAGTGTTGCTTTTAAAGAAGATGAAAATGGGCTGCTAAAATGCTGCCCATATAATCTGAATTATTTTCAGCCCTGTTGTTAAAGCTTAGAGATAAAATTCTCTTTTGAACTAAGGTTGAAGGCATCGTGTTTGATATATTGGTATAATTCCTGCTATATAAATACTCATAAATTAAGTTAGTGGTATGGTACAATTTCCTGTAATCTGTTTCCAGAATCAATATTTTATTGAATGAACTTCTTATTTTAACTTCTCACTTACTGACCCAGTGGCACAGCTGTAACGTGTGCTTGATCACTCATTCTCCCTTCTTCTTTTAAAATCAGATCTGACTATGCAGCAGTGTAGATGGGGCATGGTTTTGGGAGAATTGCATTTAATTTTGTGTGGATAGAGATTGAAAATAGCACTATCACGCCCTATTGTAGATTGTCCCATCTTAACATCCTGTAGTAATTTAGAAAGCGGCTATGTAACATAACCCCCATTTTATGGGCAGGAAAACTGAAGTCATGATTATTTCCTTCTTAAAGGATGCTTAACCTTAAGCACCTCCTGTAATATCTACTTTTCTGAATGCGGATTTTATTTTTAAGAATCTTTTCTCCATAGCAATTATCATTCAGCTAATTACCCAAAGATTTATTGCAAGCATCTGCGAGTCAGTGTGTGACCTCATGCGCAGCAAAGGATTGTTTATTCTGAGCAGGTGGAACTGTATCACCTATTGTGCTGTGCTGGGGGTGTGTTAATAAAGGCAGCAGCAGATGAAGACGCTCTACAGTTCTTTGGTGGCTGGGGTGGTCCATTGGCACCTGAGAGCTCAGCACTCCTCTGTGGCAACGCACAGTTCCTGTGCTGTGTCCTTCTCAGGAACACAACAATTGCCAGTAATCATCGTCAGTCCGCACAGACCTGCAGGTCCCGCAGGGCTCCTGGGAGCCTTGGGTTCCTGCAGCAGAACCTTTGCTGCATCTCTAAGCTGCACAGCCAAGAATTAGATGATTCCCTCTCCCCAAACAGTTCCTCACTTCCTCTTTTTCTTGCCCTTGCTTATTCTGTGTTTGTACTTTGTAGGCTACACCACATTTAAACACACAGTGATCCCACCGTGGGTTTTGCGGGTGGAGGAGGGAATGTAGGAGTACTAACAGAAAAATTGCTCTTTCTGTGGTGACCAGAAATGTATTAGATGAAACTGCTTTTTTTAATCAGTGTTTAAAAAGTTTTTTCTGATGGGGTGAAAAATGTTATATCAACGGAGTTCAAGAAGATGGGGACATGTGAAAGTGTATTTTATGAAGGGAAGACCAGATTGTTGTGTAGTTAGGGGTTCCGTACCTAAAATGTCCCTGCAGATTAAATTTCTTTGTTCTCAGACACTTTGTTCCAGATGGGCAAATGGAGAATGAACAATAAATAAGGTTTAAGTTGATGCCTACTCTGATTTACACAATATGGTCTATAGGTTGCTGATGCCACCATAAGACTCCAAGACCTCACAGATATTCTGCCAACCCATTTGTAGCCCTAATCCTGAGAAATCCCCTGTAGCCAGTGAATACTGACTCCATATGAGCGAGATATGAACCTTCCATCTAGTTCAGTTTCCTCTGTAGATTTGTCCAGCACATCCACGAAGGCTGGTGTCATTCTGCAGTGGAGTTTAAAATGGACTTTGGGAGATCTGATATTCCTGAGGGCAGCCATGTAGTGCTGCAGCAGGAGGGAAACAGACCTCCAAAACATGCCATAAGAAAAGAGCAAGGAAAAGCCCAGTCCTGGCAAATGCACTGGCACTACAAAAAAGTGTGGAAGTCTGGAGAAACAATGAATTGGAGCTGAATAGTATTATATCAGTCCTGTGTGTTTTTAATAAATAGTTGGAAGGTCTTCCGTGAGGAGTGTTGTTCAGTTTTATCTCACTCAGGGATAGAACTTGTTCATTTAGTCCCATAAAGAGCTGAACTTCCTGAGCAGGCACATGTTGGAAGTTTTGTTGCACTGACAT